CTGATTGGCTACGTGCACTTAGAGAGGTTAGTATGATATAAAAAATCTTTTGAGTGAACATGCATTTGCAGAATATAAAACGTGCATTTAGCACTAATGATTTCATATAGCCAAGACAAAAATATGCATTTAGGAAGGTATTGCATTTATGGAGGTTGCATTTAGGGAGGTCTGACTGTAGTTGTTTAAAATTTTTTCAAATTGACTAGTTAAAAAGTTAGCAACTAGTTGATTTTTTAACTAATAATTTGAAATACTAGTCTAGGTTAGAGAAGATTGTATAAGTAAATCTTTTGGTTAAAATAACTCAGAGGTAATACCAATATTCTTTTATCTTTATATTTTGTAATACCAATATTTTTATACCCAACTTGTGAGGTATTTGCTTGAAAGAATGATCAATAAATTGTGTATATAAATTTAATATAGAAATAATATTGGGTACTTATTTAGAAAAGTAATACAGTATAATACTATTAAAACTAGAATAGTGAAAGAAGCAGTAAATATGTAAAAGGCTATAGTATTAACCTTATCTGAACTAAAAGTATCTCTAGTACTATAAAACAACTAACTAAAGAAAGTAATTTCATAGAGACAGATTAGCTAATTTAGTATATCTAAAAGCATTAAATTAAAACTCTAGTTATATCTATATAGAAGTTTCATATTAGCCAATTTTTAGAATTTATAAGTAAAGTGTATTTTTTATAAACTTCAAAGCTAAATAACTTCTGATCTACTAGTTCATTTTAAATGATTTTACTACCAAAATATTTGTCTCTTTGATACGATTCCAACAAACCTAAAATCATTAAAATTCAATTACAAGATTGTGAGATAATACACTATCAAATAGTGACATAACTAAAGAGTAGAGTTTATTGGTTAGACCTATGTCTAACTAATAAACCCTACTCTCTAGATGTATCACTATTTGATAGCGTATTATTTCATGATCCTGTGATTAGATTTTAATGATTTGGGGCTTATTGGAATCATCTTAAAGAAACAAATATTTTGGTAGTAAAATCATTTAAAATAAACTAATAGATCAGAAATTATTTAGTTTTGAAGTTTATAAAAATATACTCTACTTATAAATTCCAAAAATCAGCTGATATATATAATGAAAAAAGCCAAAATATACTAACAATAATGCAATACTAACCAATAAACAAGATCCAAGTTGAAAGTTAATATAAATTGAAATACACCTTTTAGTAATATAATACAAGACTTATGGTTGAAAGTAGAATCAGGGTCTACTATAGTTCTATAAAATATAGTTCTAATAATATACTATATAAGAAAGTACAAATAGATTAGTTGATACCACTATATCAGAAAAAGAATATTAAGTTCTGGAATAACAAACTAGTAGTAGCAGCAAAGCTTAGTTTGAAATACAAGTTAGTAGTACTTGAGCAGATAAATAAGAAGCTTTCTACTAATTAGTATAACTAGCAATATAATATCAACTCTGTTATATAGTAAATCTAATTAGATAGCAAGTTTTTGGCTTAAGATACGAGATTGTAGAAAGATTACCTATACTAATTACGGTTGTACTAATAGGATCTGTAAGAAGATTTGCAGTAGATTATATTTGCAGATATACTAAATTGAAGTAGATGCTTAATATATCAAATTAGAAGTTATAACTAATTATATGAAATATGGAAGAATATAGTAGTTATTAGAAACAGTTAGTTAAGAAGCATAAAGCTAAATAATATATATATAGAATATAGACTACTTTAGTAGGTTTAGATTATAGATAAATTAGTCTAAGTCTCTGTAGTTGTATATTAGCATATATATATAGAACAATATTATTGAGTATATATTAATAAAAAACCAGAAGCATAACTTTAGAGCAGTGTCATTTATTATTTGTTTTTTTTTATTAGAGGCTTACTCCCCTTCCCCCCTCTTAATATAAAAAAAAATCAGGTTCTTATATATAATTTTAACTTTTTTTACCCTTCTCTCCCTCTAAAAAATCACCTGATTTTTGTCACGTTCCTTATCTTGATATTTAAAAAAAATCTAAAAATCAAAGAAAGAGTTACTAAACATTCCTAATAGATACTAAGATTAAAATTAAGAAAAAACTAAAAAGACAGAAAATATAGTTTAATAGATGATTCACTAGTTATTTGAAGAGCTATATGACACAGATTATACAAGATTTATATATAAATTATAGAAAAATTATAGATAATGACCTATTGCATAACAACCTCTATATGATCGGCCAATCATTTTTTAGATTGACGATCATCTAATTCTGTAATGTTTATTTTTTGTTTATTTCAGTTTTTTTTGGCATTTGTCGTTTTGTTTTTGTTTTGCTATTTAACTTTCAGGATCAGGTGTGTGCTTTTAATTTTTTTAGTTTGTTTTTTTTTTTTATTAAAATTAATTTCTTTTCTTTGATTTTTTTTTTTTTTTTGCTTTTTTTATTTACTTGTATTTTTTTTTGTTTAGCATTTGTTATTTTGTTTTTGTGCTTTCATTGTTTTGGCTTTTATTTTTTTTATTCACTTGTATTTTTTTGTACTTTCATTGTTTTGCTCTTTAACTTTCGCTCAATTTCAGGATTAGGTATGTGCTTTTAATTTTTTAGTTTGTTTTTTTTCTTTTATTAAATTAACTTATTTTTTTTCTTTCACTTTTTTTTATTTGCTTTTATTTTTTTATTTTTTCGTTTTTTATTTTTTTGTACTTTTTTTTTTTCTTTTCTTCGCTCTTTTCTTCCCCTTTGTTTTGTTTCTATTGTTTTTTCATTTATTTTTCTTATTCTTCACCTTCTTTTCTTTTTCTTTTGTACTTTTCAACTTCTTTTCATTACTATCGTTCATTTTATTTGCTTTTTCCTTTGTTTTTTTTTCCTGCCCTTTTCATTCTTTATTCACATTCCTCACCTTTTTATCCTTTTCTTTCGTTCTTATTCTTTTTCTTCATTTATCTTTTTTTTTTATTCTTCTATTCTTTTTTTCTTCTATTTTTTCATTTTTTTCTTCTTCTATTCTTTTGTTTTTTTCTTGTTTTATTCTTCATTCTCTTTTCTTTATTCATCTTTTTCTTCTCTTCATTTTTTTTTCATTCTTCTGTTCTTTTTTTTCTTTTTATTCTTCTATTCTTTCGTTCTTTTCTTGTCTTGTTCTTCTATTTCCTTTTCTTCATTTATCTTTTTCTTCTCTTCATTCTTTTTTCATTTTTCTGTTCTTTTTTTTCATTTCTTCTATTTTTTTGTTATTTTTTTTGTCTTGTTCTTCTGTTTCTTTTTCTTCATTCATCTTTTTCTTTCCATCATTTTTTTTTCATTATTCTGATCTTTTTTTTTTTCTTTCTTCTATTTTTTTGTTCTTTTCTTGTCTTGTTTTTCCGTTCCCTTTTTTTATTCATTTTTTTTCTTTCCTTCGATCTTTTTTTTTTATTTTTTTGTTCTTTTTTCCTTCTATTCTTTTGTTCTTTTCCTCTATTCTTTTGTTCTTTCATTTTTCTTGTCTTACTTTTTCATTTTCTTTTCTTCATTTATCTTTTTCCTCCCTTCGTTTTTTTTTCTATTTTTCTTTCTATTCTTTCATTTTTTTCTTTCATTCTTTTGTTCTTTTATTTTTTTTGCTTTATTCTTCTATTCTCTTTTCTTTATTTATTTTTTTCTCTCTTCGTTCTTTTTTTTTCATTCTTTTTTTTTTTCTATTCTTTTGTTTTTTCTTGTCTTATTCTTCTGGTTCTTTTTTTTGTTCATTTTTTTCTGTCTCTTTCTTTTTTGGTTTCTTGTTTACTGCATTTCGGGGGGTTTTGTTTTTTTGGCTTTTTTTCTTTTTCTGTTTAATTTCTTCTTTTATTCGTTCCTCTTTTTTTTTTCTTGTATTTTCTTTTCTTTCATCTTTTTCATTTTTCTTTCATCATCTTTTTTTTTATTTTTTCTTTGTCTTCTTTTTTTTGGTATTTTCTTTTTGTCTTTCTCTTTTCTTTTGTTTTCCCTTTTTTTTTTATTTTTTTTTTTATTTTTTGTTTTTTACTTCTCTTTCAATTTTCTCTTTTTTTTCAATTTTTTTTCTTTCGATCTTTCGATCTTTTTTTTTTTTTTGTTTTTCTTTCTGGTTTTTTCTTTTCTTTTCATTTTTTTAGTTTTTTCTTTCTTTTTTGTTTTTTCTTTTTTTGTTCTTACTCTTTCTTTTTTTTTTTGTCTATTTCTTTTTCATTTTTTTGAACTCTTTCTTCATCATCGCTAAAGTCGTCACTGGAGTCGTCATTTGGATATTTGGTTGGATTCTTCGCCAGAACTATCTATAAATACATCGTTGGAAAGTTCGCAACTTTCACCTTCATCGTAAAGTTATCGTGTTTGCATTATTTTGGGCAGGTGGGTTGGTTTTTAAGTATATAAATATAGCATGTAAGCAGATAGATTTTTTAAATGTAAAATTTTTTTATAAATAAAAAAATTTTTTAGGTTTGTATGATTTCGCCTAGTCACGTGATATACGTGATCGATTTTGATTGGTCGATCACGGAGTCGCCATAAAATAACAGCCTAAATTATATATAAAATATTCAAATAGTAAATGTAAAGATTTTTTAAAGAAATATAAAGAAAACTTTTTTTTTACTAAGTAAATTACTCTCAGACTTTTAACAAAAGTTGTAGAGCTTATTATAGTCAGGGATATTTTTAAATTTAGAAAATTATATTTCGTGTAACAAATTGCATTCTAGATCGATTCTAGAATGATCGATAAATTTTTATTGGCTCACGGTCACACTTTTTGGCTAAAAATTTT